ATGAGGCTCTTATCTTTGGTCATTGTGCTGTTTAGCATTTTGCATCAAATCTAGATCTCCATTTTTTTTTTCTTTTAGATGTGACTCAGGAGTTGGCCGTGGTGTGAACTGCTACTCTCATGCCCTTTGCCATGGGTAGAGCTACAGAAATTAACCATAAAGAACTCATGTCAAGTTTCCACAGATATGTATATACACAATGTCAAAGTGAATGTTTTGGAATAAGTTTCATATCTTGCAAAGAGTTTGGTGTTTGAAAATAGATAAATATAGGTCCAGATATTGACTTTTTATTGCTTAGATTTGTGATCTTGAGGAAATCATTAACTTCTGCTAACCTTGAATATACTAATCTGTAAACTGGATCTGTAAGTATACCTAGCTGTGCTGCCTTGATAATTTATGTGGACACAATATGAGGTAAGAGATAAGTGTATAGAAGTTGGTAGGAATTAAAACCCTACTATGTTGTTATTCTAATTATAATTGTTTTACAATGTTAGAATATAATCATCCCAGAAATATCCAGATGAAATGACCAGTAGGCAACCTTAGCATTTAAAGACAAAGTTCGTTAAAAGTAAATAGGATGTTAATAATAATGATCTAATCCATTTTCTTCATTTCATACAGCAAGATCATCGGGGTAACTATGTAACCTTTACAAGGTCACCATCCACAAAGTGGCAGAGTTTTGATGAATGAAGAAAGCTTCCCTTATGAATTAAAAATGTCATTATTGGCTCCAAATGTGTACACTGCAACCTTTCAATAAAGTCCTATTGAGTGAATTGCAATTGCCCTCTGGTATTGTAGGTAACTAGATCTTTTCTCCACCTTCTCATTATAAGGGAGAAAATTATCATTGTATACACAGGCAATATTTGAGTGAAGCTCTGGCTTATCAACTCAAAGACTCTGAATCACCAAATGAAGGTTTTAGGAGCATTTCAAACGATATCACATTACTTTTATTTTTAACAAATGGGCATTAAGAAGTAAAGTGATTCAGTAAAGGGAAACTAGGATCCAGTAATGAAAGCAATGAAATTGGGCAGAGGAACAAAGGAAAAAGAAAGAAAACTGCAATGAAGAGCATAGTCACTCATTAGAACAAAAATAAATCAAGGAGAGAGTAAGATTTTCGTAATAAAACTAATTTTCTCATAATTTTGAACTCATGTGGAAATTGCTAGGCTAGGGTTTGGTATACATTTCCCAATTGTGGAAATATAAATTTAGTTGTGAGATGGGGGACTATCGGAAGAGAAAGGAAAAAGTGCTCATATGTATTGTCAAAGATAAGCCAATTCAACAAAAGGAAAATCTTTAAGACTCTTCCAAAAGAGCATTATAGTTCTTCCTTTACTTGTGCCGACTGTAAATGCCACAGAAAGTTGCTGCTGAAAAAACTAGACAGATTGTTTGTTTATTTTGAATATTACCTATTGATTGAGTTTGTGCATAAGCTTCAGATAACTCAAAGTGCATCTCCTTATTTGAAGAGCCTTATGAATCTGATTGACGTTCTCATATATCTTAGATGAAATTCCACATGTGATGAATGAGCTAGAATGAAGAGTTTTTGATCCCTCTCTCAAGGCTGTATTTGTGTGACCCTAATATGTAGCAACAAACTTAAGATACTGTGCTTGGAAATCATTCAAAGTGATGTATGGCTCAAAATTAAAGCTCTTTATAATCTCACAACCTATCCTTATTGTTAAAAATAGTAAGTAATGACACCATATGTGTTCCATGCATTCCTGCTATCTTCTGAATGCACACTCTATCACCGTAATTGTCTTTTAACATACTTAATATTTAAAGAATTTTCTCAGTAATATATGTACCTGCTGTTCTGTTTTGGAGCAGATGCATACCTAAATTGTTTTATACTCAAGCCTGTGAGCACTAAAAGGTTGAATAACATAACGGGTATTTGAACCCTTAGCTGTGGCATAACTAGGGCTAGAACTCCTCAGCTCTTCTAACTCCCAGTTTCACTGTAACCTACTATGAAGTCATATCACTTCTTCTTGTGTCAAAGGAGTTAATATTATATGTAAAATGACTTTTTGTTAAACATTGGCCTACTATATCTACATTCAAAGTTAACTAATTCCCTCAGGGTAAACCCAAAGGAAGAATTGTAGCTATTTAATATCCTGAAAATCTGAAATGAGGGAATTTCTGCAGTTTTTATTACTGGTAGGTAATTATGTTCTCTGCAAAGATTCATAATACCTGTACTGAAGCTGGCCCTTCTAACCTGACTTTATTTTAATTTTGTTTAATTAGAAACTTACAAAATCTATAACTGGGCAAGCATTCATCTTTCCTTTGAAGTTAAAAGTCCAAATTTTGGTCAGATTTTGAGAAATGTAAGTGCACGTGCACACACACACACACACAAAAACACACATACACACCACACCACAATGACAACCACCAACAACAAATTATTATAAGAATAATAAAAACAATTAGAAGTTATGTATACCTGAAGAAAGTCCACAAGTGTAGCTATATACCATGGAAAATATTGGGTTAATAATCCATTTTCAAGGCTATTGTCACAAATGTCATGAAGTATTACTTCAAAATACAGGAAGAATGATCTTGTAAAAAAATTTTCCAAATAAACTTTTATAAAGTGACTATTTGAAAAGAAATTGCTAATGTTCAATATATGTATACAAATATTAATTGATTATAGATAAAAATAAACCCAAGTCTTATATTTAATGAATAAAGTGTGTGGTCAGTAGAAATCTAAAGGAATTGTGGAATTTTAATGCATTTTTCTTAGAGTTTCTGCATCATAGGTTATGAAGACACCAAAATATACCAAGTTCAGAGCTAATCTTTTTCCGCTGTTCTATTATTCACTCAATTAATAGATTTTGTACAGCATAATGATCATTAATGATTATTCCTTAAGAACATTGACCCTAAAATATTTAGCAAGCAGCGAGCATTCAATTGAAATGTTGATTGGAAATGGGGAAATTAAACTGTCACTGATAAAATACTAAAGCTCATTATCACAAAGTTTCATTTTAAATGTTCAGAATTAGCTTTATTACTGCATCGGTAATGATAAGCATGAGTCTTAAATCCATGTCATTTAGGTTTTATGAGCGTTATTAAAACACATTAACCACAATTCAATTAATTTACAAAATAAATGCTATTCTACAATATTTGTTTTACTGGCTCTTAAGCAAAGCTGTTGCATTAGGAAGTCCAAAGCCATATGCCTATGGAGTATATTTTACCCTTATCTCTCACTCCCATCTTTGTGGCTTTTCAAAGTATTCACTCTCCTCAGATAGGTAAATGTGCTGAAGGGAAAACACAGCTAGCTTGCTGCCACGCCTTTGTATCATTAGGACAATACTGACCTCTAGTGTTCTAGAAGGTGGAGAAACTAGCCCAGCACTGTGCCTTACTTCCTCTTACTAACCACTTAGATCTTTTACTAAAGCAACACGGGAACAATTTCATAGAAGAAGAAGAAAAAGAAGGAGGTAGAAGACAAGGAGATGAAGAAGTAAAAGAAAAAAGTCAGATTCCAAATGCTCCTACATATTCTCTGAAGTAATTTATAAACCAGGGCCCTTTGGATCCTCCTTTAGAGAGGATGATCCCTTTAGCCTTCCTGTAGAATACAAACTTTAATACAATCGGTATAAGGCATTACGACTAACTGTAGATGCTGTCCCTCCAAAACTTCTGACCACAGATAGAAACACTGGCTCAGTTTTGAACATTGTTCTGTACACTACATTTGTTCAATTATCTTCCCTTGAGACATAACTCTGGGGATAAATGCACAGGGTCCTCTAGGACCTAAGTGGGTGGAGAGTGAGGTAGAAAGGCCCCTATGTGGTAAGTAATCTTCCTACTGTTCTCTAACCATGATAGTGCAAATTACAAAAAATAAAAAATAAAACTCTTCCAATATGGGTAATATTTCTGAGCTTCACGACAGGAATAAGAGATATGGGAGCAAGCCCAGAAACTTGAGGCACCTTGATAAACCATCTTTGGAAACAACACAGATGGCTTAATTGCATTCTTTCTCATTTAGGAGGTCCCAGAGCTGGAAAAACTTCCTCTCCTCTGCCTAGAGAGGCAGCTGAGAAATTGAGCCTGAATCTCTCACAGCTCCAGAGATTTATTCAAGTTTGACGGACTGGATTCTTTAAATATATAGTGCAGTTGGTGGATCCCCGGGAGTCCAGCCTTCCTGCCTATTAAATTAAATGTCCTGCACTTGCCGAGGTTAGATCTTGGACGACAGAGTGTACACTTAGTGTATACTCATTAATGTTCATAAGCACAACGATTTTTGGGGTGGGGTGTGCATCAAAGCTCTTCCTCCTCTAATAGGGGCAGCCATTGATCTTGTGGTTGACTACAGTGGTTCATGACTCTTAGGCCAAAACTCCCAATCCTGTTAAACCGGTGCCCATTGGTTGCAGGATACCCCAACTAGAGCCTTCTACCTAGGGCAGAACGCAGAGCCACATATCGTGGGGTGCTCGTTATACTGCAAATCTGAGGCACTGCATTCAGAGATGAGGCACTGTCACCGAGCACGGTGGCTGGGAGCTTCTCCATCCCAGGAAGCTCAGCTCCCAGTGCATTCTGTCTGAACCGGGGGCCCTTCTCCGGAAAAAGCCCTGGCTGAGATCATGCAGGCATGGAACGCGGAGCTAGCAGGAGATTAAGGGAAGAGAAACCCTTCCTTATCCCCTGAACTTTGCGATAACGGAAGAAGGCAGGAAATCCAGCAGGGCTGGCTCATTTGAGCTCTGCTAACTTTTGGGATGGTTGGAGTGATGGAACCACACTGATTAGCTTTTTTTTTTTTTTTTTTCCGTTTCCTTTGCCCAAAGCAGACACAATCGAGTACGCTTAGACAGTTGATTGTCTTTCTGAATGCGATCGTTTTCCACCTCACCTACCCGCCCCCAGCTCCTCGTACTCACAATTTGTCGCTGTTAATCCTAAATGCCACAAGCCGGAGAACAGCAAAGTCAAAAAGCTGGTCAGCCGTGGTACAGAATCCATTTCCCCCGAGTGAGCGGTCCCTCCCAATGGAATCCCAAATTCGCAGTCGCCAGCCGCGGCTTCTTCTCGCTCTCTCTCTTCTCTGCACGGCCTGACCCCCTCCCACCCCCCCTTGGAGAGGCACTTGCTCTTTCACACCATCCCGTGCCCAGACGCTCCACCGAAACCGTGGCGGGGGAGTCTCCGGAGCTGCAGCTGGGGCTACGGTCCCCGCAACAGCCGCTAGCTGGACTCGCCTTCCTCGCCCGCCTCTTCCTTCTCTTCCCCCCTCCTTAACGGTGCAAATCCAAACCCAATTAGAACGACAAGCGCCGGAGCTCGGTGGACAGCCAAATCCACCTCTTCGGGCGCGAGAGCTGGAATCAGCACCGGGGTGGCGGACAGCTCCTTATAGGCGAGCGGGGCCGCGCGGCGCCGCCCACAGCCAGGCCCGCCCCGCGCTCGCCTATAAGAGCAGCCTGGGCGGGTCTTTGCCCCGCTCCGGCGCTTTTCCTCCAGGCAGCCTAGCCGCTGCGGTGCGCTTTGGCTACCTGGGAGTGAAAGGGAAAGGAGATTCTCTCTCTCTCTACCCTCCACCGGCTTCCTCTTCCCTTCCCCCCATTTGGGAAACGAGTAGAGGTATTGAAATTTAAAGGAGATTTTCAAAGACCGCTGCTGAAGGATGCTAATAGGAGCTGGAAGAAAAGCGCATTAGGAAGAGGGAATTTCCCACGGAAAGCTTTGTAATGAGCTAACGAGATGCGTTCCTCCACCCCACCTTTGGAGGGGAGGGGAAAACAGAGCTTGAATTACGCATTTAATTTCCCCTGCGTTCGTTCCCTAATGGGAAAAGCTGATGGGTCTCGATAGGATCGGGATTTCTGGTTTCGCGGTTTAACGTTGTGCGCGCTCCCCTGCTTGCAGACCCCACAGCTACTCCCACCGCTCATCCTCTCGCCCGTCTTGGCGTCTGCGTCTCCCGCCCGCTGTTGGCGCGTTGCTTCGGGCAGGTACTGCAAGGTGCTCGGGGCTCTGGATTCCAAGTCAGTGGTTCACTGACATCTCAGGGAGACGGAGAGAGGAGAGACACATGGGTGTGGTAGTGATGAGAGTCAGGGTGGAAGCCCGGGTTGGCTCATAGAATTCAAAGTATGAGGACTCTGCTGTAGGGATTTGAATTTTGAAAAAGGGAAAGAGTGATTTGGGTTTCTTTCTAGACACCCCCTCTTACAAATTTTGTTTGTTTTTGGCTTCTAGTATACATCTGGAAACTCTCCTGCTTTATCATAAATCAACTTAGTTTGTTTTTACTGGAAGCTGTCAGAGAGCTGTCAAATCTTAACAAAATGAGGGACCATAATGATTTCTCCTATTTGAAGCTTACAATGAAGTTAGGGTTGATGAACTCTACCCACTTCAGAGGAATTTGATGTCTCCCTCTCTCCCCATCCTCCTCTTACCTTCAACAGAAGCAATTATACAGTCTTATTTGTCATTGTAGACTCCTGACAATCCTGGCTGCACAACTATAGATGGGACTAGGTTTCAAGCAGCTTCTGCATGAATCCTGAGGTTAACCTTGTGTTTTTTTGGTTACAGCTAGACTCACATCACTGAAATATTAAGAGATAGTTGAATGACAACTGGATTACTGACCTCATCATTTTATTAGAGAAGAAAGAATTTTGAGGGTCCTATCACTTACACATAAATGATCCTCTTCTCTCTAAGCTTCTAACTAAAGATGATTATGTAAGTCACTAGATTCCTGGGCAAACTGAAAGACTTTCCCAGCTGGAGTTTTAGTTAGAGTGCATGGTAGGGTGCAGTGGAGGACCACACCCAGAAGATGGTGAATGTCAACATATCGAGGCTGAGGTGACCTAAGGAGCTGTCCTCTTGGCAGCTGGGAAGGGGTCTGAAGAGAGGAGAGGGCTGAGGTTCAAAATCTGTCTGCATGGGCTTCTTTTTTCCTTCTACCAAGGGTACTGAGGAGCTGCCACCCAACCCCTAGCCTTTGAGGATCCCATGGTGAAAAACATTTATCTGGCTATTAATCATACTAAGAAGTCTAGAGAAATATACTGAGCCATTACAGCTTGGTATGTTCTAATTATATGTAAACACTTAGGCATTTTTAAAAGTAGAATAGTACAGATATAATTGAAGCTCCTTTTGCATTTTCTCTGATCCCATTCATCTGCCATCATACCTAGAAGTAAACACTTTACTTATCTGGTGTATATCATTCCTATACATAATGTTTTTAAACTTTTACCATACATATTTATCTCCCTGAACAATATGTAGAGTGCTTTGTCTTTAACCAATACATAAGTGGTGTCATGTTCTTTCATTTTGCACCTTGCAATTTACTTAGTACTATAATTTTGAAATGTATGTATCCAGCTACATAAAGTCCTAGTTATTTTATTATAACTACTGTATTGTATTTCATTTCATAAATATGCCAAAATATATTCATTAATTCTTTGATGTATGGATCTATAGATTGTTTCCAGGGTTGTTGATATTTCCCTTTAGAAAGTACAGTCTTGTACCTGTCTTTTAGCTATTCTTGCTCATATACTGAAGAGTAGAATTTCTGGACCATAGGAAATGCTTGTCTTCAGCTTTACCAGGTATTTTCTGTTATTCTTAAAATGATGGTTCCAATTCATAAGTCTCCTCCCCCTAGTTCCACATCCCTAACAACTCTTCAAGACCCCTCTCTTTATGAATAGGAATATGATAGTCAGACAACACGTCTTTTGTCACTGAGTTTAATGTTTCACTATATAATTCCACCTTCTACACCTCACACCCCCCAAAATGTTTAGTTTAATATAACATTTCAAAAATTACAGAATATGTTGGCTTTGTCTTCTGGCAGGATGGCTTAAAATTAATTATCTGTGCCAGTAAAATGTGCTTAGGATAGATATGAACAGGCAATTAGGAAATTTTTTGCCATGAAGCCCTCAAACTGTGAATGGTATTCAGGTTATTAGTAAATATTGGAACTCTGCATTCTTATGTCTATGTGCAGACCCAGTGTACAGTATATAAATTTCACCTAATTTAAACTCCTATTTACAGTTGTAGCTTTTTGTTTCTCTCCCTCAAACACACCTGTTCTCAGAGCAAGTTGAGCCTTAAATGTCAGACATTTGTCTAATATTTGTTAACATTTTAGTAAGAATACTGCAGCTCTGAATGTAGTGAGGGGTAAACAGCTGTTCCTCTGAGACAATAGTGTAAACAATGCCGTCTTCTGGGGGCATTCTGCCAGCAAGTATTTATTAGCAATAGAATATTAATCACTATAAAAACTGTTTTCAGCCAGATTGATATTTACCTATTGAAATTCTTTTGTAAAGCTTTTAGTCTGATAAATCCACTGTCCAAATGGTGAAGCAGAAGCTGAGTAAACTCCCTTTTCTCCCCCATGTTTCTCCATATGGAAAAATAACTCATCTTTGCAGAGCACTCTGCTTTGAAGAGGCTTAAAAGTTCTGCATGGATGGAGCAGGTTGAACACTAACAGAAAATGGGGGAAAAATGGATAATCTTGAAACCCAAAAATGTCTATATTTTCAAGATGATAAATCTGACCATCTCCTCAAGACAAACTTCTATTTGAAATCCTAAAAAAAAGAAATGAAATGGATAGGATGGCATTTCATTGTTTCTTTTCTGTGATTTTCCCTTGAGCACTTCCACTTATTTTTCCTTAGGAGACAGAAGGGAAAGAATCATTCATCAAATGGAATCTTTGCATTGGAATATTCAACAAGTGGTTCATCTCACTGATTTTATAATTCTCTTGTGAGGCACACAGAAGGCATGTTTGGTCATCTCCATTTTATTGATGGGATACTAAGAGGAGACAGATATTGACATGATAAATGTCACACAGAATTAATGGCTCCAACCCATAGGGGCACAAAAAATGAAGGTCTCCTCCCTCCCCCATTCTATTTCTTTTCTCTTTAGAAAGCTTACTGGTAAAAGTCACTATGACATATGGACACCTTGAATGTATTGAAGAAAAATCCACATATAATCACAGTAGGCTACTCTATTTTTAATATCAGTTCTTTTGGATTATTTTGACTTCTCATGTTATGGTTTGTGGTAAGGACTAAAGGCTAACATCTGTTGCCATCCAAATCTTCAAAATAGAGTTTTTCAAAATATTGATGTGGCAGAAAGCTAATTATTTTTCTTTTCATTCTTTCTTGTTTCATATTTTTTTTCTTTATTTTTGGTTCCTCCTTAATAGTATGTTGCCAGTAATATGATACAGAGTGTGGGAAATAGAAAAAAAATTATCTGCTTCCACAGAGTTAGGTATTATTTAGAAAACTAAGATGTAAACACATTAAAAAGTTCACAATACAAATTAGCATGTGACTATGTGTCAAATCTCTGAGATTACAAATGCTATGTGAGTTTTTAAGTTGACAAAGATTGCTTCCTCTGGGAAAGCTAAATTGCCCTTGGCATAATGAATTGGTTCTTTGTCTCCTTGGAAGTAGGGGGATTTGAGTCACCCTGGGCCTTAAAGGTTGCTATTCAGATGAGGTCAAGTCAGGTATATTTGCATAACAGGAAAGTCAAGTCTTAGAATCATGAAGGCAGAATTCTACTTTTGCAGAAGAGTGTTCAGATTAAGACCCATTAACTTTAGCCACATATGGAGAAAAATCTACTTCAGCTTCTCCCCACTACTTCTCTCCCCGTCTCTTCTAGTTCTCACTTAAGCCCTATCTTGTCACAATACTTATCCTTGACATCAAAAATAGTTATCTTCTGTCATCTGCCTCCTGCCAGTACGAGAGCCTTTTCTGTTAGAGGCCTTTGCCGGGTGTGCATGCTTCTCAGCTGGGAAGATGCTGTGCTGTTGCATATACTGCTCTTTCCTCTTTCCCTGGGCTTTTTGCTCCACTGGCAAATGTTCAAGTCCAGACTCCACTAACAATTCTCTCTTTCCCTAACTCAGTAATTTCTCAAGAGTAGTTTCCTGAAGAATATTTAACTTTGAGTTTTCAGTACACATAGTAGGTTTTCAAGGAACGGTTGATGTCTGATAATGTTAGCTATAAAAAGTCTTTGTCAGTTCTTTCAGGGGTTATAGCGATCCCCCAATCCACTCTTTGCACCAGAACGCAGAGGCTCCTTTAAGGACATTTATCCTTATTTACCTTAAAATCAAGATGTCAACTGTATAAAAAAAAAATCACTGAAAATGCAGTTTAGGATTAATATCCTGATAGTTTATTTTCCTAGTCACATGTTTCTCCAACATTTAGATTTATTTCTCAGAGGGAATTTACCCTCTAAAGTATCTATGTAATTGCATTGGTACAATCCCTAGCCATGCCACATCCAGAAACATATGTCAAAAATCATGTTTCTTTTT